AATTGTGCACTTTGAATTTGTTTGGTTTATTACATATCAATCATACCTCAATTAAAAAAAACCAAAAAACACTGATTTTCTTTGGGGAATTTTGTAGAAAATAAGCATTTATGATATAGCCATTTGACAACTATGCATTGAGTTCTTATCTTGTGCCAAGCACTGAGCTGGTGCTAAAAACAAACTAGTGGAGGAGGTTCTGACCCATGGACCACCGCGTGCGGCCTCTTAGTGTTTCCACTGTGCTATGCTGCTTAAGGCACATAGATTCTGAAAGCCTGTGGAAAAAGTTCTAATTTCTGTTTGTCAGTCTCATCACATGCAAATTGCTTCAAAATGTATCATCTATTATCATGCATTGTGATGACAGTTACATACTAATTTTGATATTGCACTTATACCTGCCTGTACAAATAAGAGAATTCATTAAGAACAAACCCCAAAACACCATTCTGATCTCTACCAAGAACGCCTTTCAACGACATCAACAGGAGACAGTAAATCTGGTATTTGTCCTTATGTAGATGATCTGTGGTTTCAACATAAAACAAGTGGGAAGACTCTGCTCTAGTTCCCTGTATTTCCTCTGGTGTGACTCATGCAGAGCATCATTTGCTGTGTTCCCCAAAGCCTTCCTTGGCATTCGTCTCTTATTTTTAAGACAGTCCTCTAAATCATGCTCTTTAAGATACTGATAATTAACAAAACTATTTATCACTGAATTCACCTTGCAGGAACTTGACTCTCGTCATACGAAAAGTTCAGAAAAAAGCAAAGGCCAGTGACATGCACAGGATCTCAGTGTAAAACACTGAAAAGTGACTTTTTTTTTTTAATCAATCAACTCAATGCCATTAGCATCAGAGAGAGAGAGAACATTCCACTGGTATGAACAAACTTCTAACGGACGAACCAATATTTTAATACTAACGTTATTGGTCATCAAGCCTGTCACCATTTTCCTTAACAATAGAAAAATATTTGAAAAATAATTTATTATTCAAATCATATTGGCTGACCTCGGGCAATAAATTCTCCAAAACCTCACAATATGAAGAACTAAATTAGGATAACTGCATTCAACATTCTTGGAGCCAGAATTGGAGGAGCTGCTTGTAAAGTGAAATAAAAAGCATATTTTAAATGACACACAAGCAAGTTATCCAAATCAATATTTTATAGAATCTTCTAATAAACACTAAGAACTAAATTAGGATAACTGCATTCAACATTCTTGGAGCCAGAATTGGAGGAGCTGCTTGCAAAGTGAAATAAAAAGCATATTTTAAATGACACACAAGCAAGTTATCCAAATCAATATTTTATAGAATCTTCTAATAAACACCTTTACTACATTTACCATTGATTAAATAAGAAACAAGCTCAGCATCTACTTTCTGTATTTACACAAGACAAGAAAGGTGACTCCTATGAAAAATAACGAATATAGGATTCAAAATTTGGCAAAGATTGAGATTATCCAAGCTGGCCTTGAACCACTAATAATGTTTTTCAAAGATGGGGTTATTAGATTAACAGTTGTCAAAGATGGACATTATTTATGCTATGTTAAAGCAAACATTTTTATTAACCAAACATTTCCTAAATTACAAGCAAAAATGTGAAACTCAATCTGACACCTGCAGCAAATCTGAGGGCCTTCCCTGGTCCAGGGCACAGAGCCACACCTTCTGCTGTAAAAGAGGTTTGTTCCAAAGGTTATCTGAAGAAAAATTTCCTTAATCAGTTTTTAACTTTTGCTGCCTCCCACTGGACAATTCACCCCAATTTTGCCCCAAGTCCTGAGAACTCTCAGCTCTCTGGTTTCATGTGTGTGGCTGTTGATCCTTCATTTAATGGGAACCAAGGGCTCTACTTACATCATGCATGGAGTCCAGAAGCTTGGTCAGTTGGTAAAACCTCTGCCAGCTCTGCCCAGAATTGTTGGGACACTTAGTTACCATCTTCCTCAGTTCTTTGATGTAATTTGTCCTCATTTCTTCAAATGCAGCCTGGCTTTTGAGGCCATCCTTTGGAACTGTGTTAAGGAATACAGATAGGTAAATTCCAAGGATGGAAAACAGCTTGAGCTTAGCAGTTAAATGGCCTCTGGGTCATTATTTTGAGGTCATATACTAATTTTGAGGTTAGATACCAAATCTCAATTAATTACATTTATGAATAAATATGGCAGTTATCTAGTGCTAAACACGTGTACACATACATGCCCAAAAGAATAATAATTGCTATTTATTACTTTACAAACATTAGCTCACTTAATCCTGACGCCAATATTATGTATGACATACTATTAAATTATTCTCATGTTGCAGATGAGGAAACTGAAGACTGGAGGTTGGGTCATTTGCCCAAGGACACAATAAATAAATGGCAGAGAAGGGGTAGTACAAACTTAGGTCTGTTGCCAAAGCCTGCCTCTTAACTACATGCTACATTGCCTGGTGGCCTGTCATCATAGTGTTTTATGAATCCTAACTTGCCAATACCTCGCAGGTAGGGAAATATACTTTGATTTTCCAGGAAAACTGGAAGAGCCACAGACAATCCAAGCTGGTGCTAGAATTAGAAAGCAACATCTTTATATTTAAGTTCAAATGTCGAAGACATTCTGAGAAACTGGTCTTCTACCAAGAGCAGAAAGATGCATTTCAAGAAGCACTTTCTATATCCCCTGCTCCAGGATCACATGACCACTAAGGTGCTGTCATGTGACCTCCTAGAACAACCTCATGGTGTGTCTGTGCACTGGTTTGTGTGTGCAATGGGATAATACCAACAGTGGCTCAGCATGCAAGGCAAAATTTAAAACTTTCAAAGAATAAACCATGTGCATCTTCATCTTTGATAAGGTAGAAGATTAAGGATCATGTTTTCTTCTTTCCTTTTATGTAGTGGTTAGCTTTTACATTTAAACCAAAAAATTTTCACTTAAAAGGATTCCTTTGAAATTCAGGACTTCTATTTGTATTGTTAAATTAAGTTTCTAAAGGTTTCTTTGGATATAGTAAACCGTAACCTAACTTGATGAAAGAACAGGATGTAACCTACCCTTGTAACCAGGGTCTCAGCCAATCACAGGCAGCCAACTATTCAAACCATTGTTAAATAAGACAAACACCCAGCTGTACCCATCCAGCTGTTTCTGTACCACACTTCCATTTTCTGTACTCCACTTTTCTTCTTCTCTCCATAAATGTTATTCAAACATGAGGAAGTTCCTGAGTTGTTCTGAGTTGTGCGTTTTCTGGGGGTTGCCCAAATTTCGAATTGTTCTTTGCTCAATTGAACTGTGTTAAATTTAATTTGTCTAAAGTGTTTCTTTTAACAGTATCAAGTACTTCTGTGAACTACTGAAAGGTAAATCTCTTTTCCATGACACATTGAAGGTGCTTTATGAGAATGGCTGTGCCTTTGTGTGCCTTCCAGGAGGAGGCGTAAGACAGAAAAATCCTCTTACATGTTTGTTTTCCACTGTGGCCAATAGAGTTATGTTTATGCTTTAACTCTGAAAAATAAAATCACCTAGAACTTTATTTTTAGGAGATGAAGACCTAATGAAAATTCATCTTGTGATATAAACATTCTGAGTTTGAAACTGCTCTTACTTTCACTTCTTAATTATACATCATATTTGCTAATTTATCATAACTGGTATAAATAATAATTTACTTTGGGCATCAGCACTTCAGAATGGCTAGGTGTGTTTCTGAGTATTATGTGCAACCCTGGAAGCCAGGCCTACCACTGCTTCCAAATAAACCCTGTTATCCTATGTAAAGATATGGGTTATCTTGCAAATTAACTTCTACTGTTATGTTAATAATCTTGAGTTTAACTGTTGAAGCTTTTGATTTGTGGTTTCTTTAAGCCTATTTTTTGGGGGGGAAGATAAATCCCTATTAGCAACTGCATAAATTCCTGAGGCTGCCACAATATTGGCTGTGGTTTTAAATGTCTGACATTCACATTAAGAGTTAAATGCCATCCATTATATAACAATTTTTTTTCTTAAAACTTTGTTTTAAAACTATAAAAAAATATAAAGAAGTATGGTAATGATCAGGATGTTAGTAGTAAAACTATAGATCCACTTTCCACTGAAGTTTTAATGTGAACTTAAAACTTTCTAAAAGAAACCCCAAATTTGCAAATAGCCTACACTGCCATCCACAGATAAACATTATTTTAGGTTATAAAATTGTACAAAATAAACCTTTAGTTTTTCAGTATAGATACTTATATGGATGTCATCCTAAACATTAAAAAAATTATTAACATTGGAATAGAATGAGTAAATTTCAGTACTACATTTCAATACTATTTGGTACATCTACTAAAATAAACCTTATCAAAAATACTAAAGAGTATAACAACTTGTATCAAATATTTTTACTTATATTTTACTGCTGCTGTAACTGAAATATATTGTACCAATTTCTTAGCCAGATTTTTTAGAAGTTGAAACAAACCCACAAAGAAAGGGAACTTAAGCAAAACCTCAAATTTTGGCGATCCGCCCAGAGTTTCTGAATTTCCTTATTAAATACAGCAGGGCTGCTGGAAATCATCCAAGATCTATGGGTTGGGGAAGAGCATAGAGACAACTGGGGTGGAAGTTTGTCTTGCTTTTCTCTTTAAGCATAAAGAACATGAGATTCTCTTGATGTCACTGCTAAAAACTTTGTTGATACACTGGACATCAGGTGTGCAATTTAACATTCCTAAGTAAGAAGAAAAATTTTCATGCATTAGCAAAATAAGCTTACTAAAGCCTGCAGTTTCTATGATTCATAAAATTCTTTGTTACCCTGTCTTTTTATTTTGATTTTCCTACATCTAAAAAAATCAGAATTGAAAGTACTGAGCTACTTGGAAGCTAATAAATTAATTCAGGTAGCTTCAAAATGATATCAGAATCTGTTATGGACTAAATGAGTAAATGCATGTAAAAGGATAAGACACCAGTTAAGACTGAGTAGCCAAAAGTTATAAAGTATTAGTTTCACAAGCATTTTTAGAAAAAAAAATATTTCATTTAAATTCTATCATCCATCTGATATAAAATTTTCTTTTACATTTTTCAAACCAGTAATGGTTAATAACACAGTTTGGAAAGGGGAATGAAATCACTTTCACTGAATTTAAAGATTATGTTTCCAAGTTATACTCCAGAAAGGATAAATTAGGAACATCAGAAACCTCGAAGCATGGAGCAGGGAGAAAATGCCTGGTTCTGTTGACCCTGCAGACGCGGGTTGCAAATACAAAAGCTGCAGGAGATAGGGCTGGGTGTAATTAGTGAGGAATGGTGGGGCCTGTAGCAAACTGCAGAGAACATGCCCTGCCCAGGGCTATCAAATTCAATGA